GAACTAGAACTGAACTAGAACTGAACTAGAACTGAACTAGAATTGAACTAGAACTGAAATAGAACTGAAATAAAACTGAACTGGAACTGAACTAGAACTGAACTAGAACTGAAATAGATCTGAAATAGAACTGAACTAGAACTGAACTAGAAGAGAACTAGAACTGAAGTAGAACTAGAACTGGAACTAGAACTGTACTAGAACTGAATTAGAACTGAGCTTTTGTTTTATACATCCCTGGATATCATATACAATAGCTTAGCCTAAAAATAGGCAATGCATTTGTGCAAACAATAACTACAGTGTAAAAATTGCGTGTAAAACCGTGTATAATTGTGTTAAATGAATTTGTGTTAATTATCAATACTTGAAAGTTATGACAAATTGTGATTTATAACAATTAATGTAGTTTATTGTTTGTGCAGTTAAATAAATTTTAATTAATTTGTCTTCAAATATAAAGCACAACAAATATTATGTTGGAATATCTATTACAATTTTAAATATGAACAAATTTAATACAGATTCATATCTGTTGTTTCTGTTTTATTTCATAATTTAGCTGCAGCAGCTGCGTTTTAATTATGTCAAATTATTTAATTTACATCTGAAAAACATATATCCATATACATATATATTTTATGTTACTAGTTGTGTAAAAATATCTGATATGTATCGTGTTGTTTGGCGCGCTTCAAAATTGTATTGTTATTAAAATTAAATGTTGAGTTTTATACACTGCAAATACAATTAAATTCATAAATTAACTCGTAAAAAGTTACACATTTGTTTAGAATATTAAATTAAAATAGAGAAAAAAAATATAAAATTTGTCATTAAATAACAGATTGAATTATAATTATGAACATTTAACATGCGAGAATTATAAAATTTGAGTGAAAATTTGTGTCATGTTTTTAAACATATCACATGAAATACTTTCCACCTTAATGCATTTTCTTACTCGTTCTACCCGTGTATATTTATTAGAATTTCATCTGTTTAAATATTTTCTACTTCTTTTATTTCAACCTGAGATCGTTGTTTTAGTTTTTTTTAACATATTAATATAGACATGATCTATTTAATTTACTTAAACAAGCAATAGTAGTTAAATATTTAAACAGTTTTATTTTATATAAAACATTTTGTTTTTATTGATCGCATTTGATACGAAAATATTTTTATGCACAATTCAGTTGATCGTTAGACAAGAATTTTAAAAGACTTATCGCAGGTTCATTATATTTTATACCAAAAAAAAAAAAAAAAAAAATAAAATTATTAATTAAATATTAAATTAAACTATTAAAAAATAAATAAATTAATAAATAAATAAATAATAATAATAATAATAATAATAATAATAATAATAATAATAATAATAATAATAATAATAATAATAATAATAATAATAATAATAAAAATAATAATAATAATAATAATAATAATAATAATAATAATAATAATAATAATAATAATAATAATAATAATAATAATAATAATTCATGTGAACATTACAAATACTATTGTAGTTAGAATCTTCAAAATCGTTAAGTTTGTTTTTTTATTTATATTGCTTTTAGGGTAGCAAAGTACACTGGATATAGATAGTTTCCTATAAAACTATCGTTATTTGTGCGAACTTTTGAGCCATTATTGAGCGTTAAAGCCAATTTCTGAAGTGGACCTTATTAGACCGATCTTCATAAACTTTTGTAAATAAATTAGGTTTCGTAAAGAAATTGTTTATTTCGAATTTAAATCGTATTTGTAAGTAACTAATGATAGTTAAAGTACTTTTCTGTAGTGCTCCTTAAATGGGATAAGATCAGTTATCGATCCATCTACATCAAAGTCGGTAGAATGATTTCAGTTCTCATAAAACTTGTTTATGTCGAATTTTAATAGATCTGCTGATATTTTTATGCCAGTAATGAGCGTTAAAGTTACTTTCTGAAGTGGCCCTTATACGGGGGTCAAATTTCATCACTATACTTGTATTTTAAAACAGTTATGCCAGTTAAAGTTGTTTTTCAGGAGTCGACTTGTATAGGGGCTATCCGAAAATGTGAACCGATATTACCCATTATCAATACAAAACAAACCTTACCTGTAAGGAATATTTACATCTTTCCGTTCGGCCTCTATCGTGCTTTCAACAGACAGACGGACGGACAGAAATGTCTAGATCAATTCAATAAGGACCCAGAATATACATATATACTTTTGTGGGTCTATGACCAATATTTCGATGTGTTACAAACGGAATGACAAACGACTTACTCTTAAACCGTATGTTCATATTGATACTAAAGCTACTTTTCAATAGTTGAGATCTCCTACCTTTTGTAATTAACATGGATGTCAAAATTGTTCATGCAAAATTTGAGGATTCTAGATGTAATAGATTTTTAAATATATTTTGTACTTAATTCTGTTGCTAATCCCCCAATTTATTACATTAATATTCAAGTTGTTCTTGCTCTAACAGTTTCTCAGATATACGAATTTTTGTACTTCATATGGAAGGACACGCCCCCTACTGTTACTCCGCCAATTTATTATACAAATGTTCACATGGATGGATCTTGCAAAATTTGAGGTTTCTAGCTCTAACAGTTTCTCAGATATACGAATTTTTGTTCTTAATTCACATGACGATATCTGGCCCCCTGTTGCTAGTTCGCCCATTTTCATAATATTACTAAAGTGACTCTCATAAAATTTGAGGACTCTAAGTTATATATTTTTACAGAAATACTTATTCAATATTTTCTGTATATGGGAAGTACCACACACATTGTACTAAGTCTGCCCATTTTTCTCAGACTATAGACGTCTATAGACTTCAAACAACCAAACAAACCCACAAACAAATAAACACCATCCATTTTTATATATGTATATAGATATCCGTAATAGACATCAGATTCTGTTCCAGAAGCTAAAAATATATAAAAACAAGTTCGAGTGCTATATTCGGCTATGCCGAATCTTAAATACCCTCCACCTGTTAGCTTTTTGAAACCCATCTAAATAGTTTCAGAGTTTTAATAAATTGTGAATAAATTTTGCTTCCGTGATGGGGGTGCTTTGTGATTTGGTCTTTATTTATCAATGAAATATGTGATGTTTGGAAGTGGATCTTATATGGAAGCTATGATCAATTATAGACCGATCCGGAAAATATTTCTCAATGTGGTTTATATCTGCTTTAAACACATTCATAACGAAATTTACACAGATATCTTCAATCAGTTGTGAAATATATCCGTTTACGTGGTTATCATAAGTGGTCCATTATATGGTAGCTATGATCAATTAATGACCGATCCGGAAAAAATTTGATAGAGTCATATATGTATACACAAAACATATTTATGTTGAATATTATTTCAATATCTTTATTTTTTAAATAGTTATGTGTATTTAAGTGATTTTCGGAAGTGAACCTTATATGGGCGCTGTGAGCAAATATGGACCGATCCGGAAAAAATTTCACAGGGTGTTTTATATGTACATAATGAATTTTATACCGATATCCTTATTCAGTATTGAAATATGTGTGTTTATACGTTTTACGTGGTTATCGCCAATACGCCTTATATGGGAGCTATGCCCAATTATAGACTATCCGAAAATTATTTTTCAGAGTTATATGTGTATACACAAAACATATTTATGTCGAATATTATTCCAATATCTTTATTTCTTAATTAGTTATGTGTATTTAAGTGACCTTATATGGGAGCTATGGCTATTTATGGTCCGAAACAGATTTCTGTTCATATTATATACATGTATGCAAAATTTCGTGGTGATACCGATTTTTTGACAAAGTTATTAACCATAAACCTATTTTCGAGAATATGTACCTTTGTATGGGGGCTATGGGAAATTTTGGACCGATTGTTTTGAGTTTGAACATAATTGATCCCTGGGCAAAATAAATTACGTGTAATAGAATTCATTGAATATCTTTGGTAGTTTTTGAGAAAACTACTCGTGAATTAGGAAAAAAACCGTAATTTTTTTCAAGGTAGTCTGAAATTTTTACTCATAACTTTTTACGTTGTGAACCGATTTTCAGCTGATTTTCAATACCAAACTGCTCAGGCCAATAATGAATATTTTCGGAGAAAATGGTTGAATTGCTTTGCTTAGCTTTAACGGGTTTTACACAAATAGACGGACATAGCTAAATCGACACAGAATTTGATAAGGATCCGGATACTTTGTTGGGTCTCAGATGAATATTTCTGGGTGTTACACACGGAATGACAAACTTATCTATCACCACTGATTGTGCGTGGAGGGTATAATAAGTCGAATTTGGTTTGAAAAGTTTTTACAAACCTTAATTTCGTTGGCCTTTGTAATTTACCTAATTTTTATCAATTCTGTTCCACTGTTGGTGTTGAGTTTGAGGTATTAGATTAAAAAGTAAAGCATACCTTTAGGTGTTTTATAAATAACCGTTATACATTTGATTTACAAATTATTCTGAGCATTTTAATTAAGTTCCCACTAGAATTATAAGTATGAATGTCAGATAAACATCTAAATTGTTACCCATTTATTAAATAGCTCATTAATTATGATATCAGTAACCGATTTAATAATAACTAGAATTATTAATATTCTATAGATAACACCTGTCATATTTTGTATTTATTTTTAGTTTTAAAAATGTTTTAATAACAATTTTTTTATCAATGTTATAAACCATAAATTATTAATATAAACGTGTTCATTTATTTATATTTAATCATGTTGAATAATTTAAAAAGTACTTAAATTTCCCAATTTATTATTAACTATTAATTATAATGAAATCACGATTATTTCTTTTATTTTTAAATAAAGTTTTAAGTATTAAATAAAATTTAATGATTTGCTATTAAATCATAAATGAAAATTTGGAACCAATGTTTTCAAAACAAAAGTCTTAAAATTTATAAATTTTTAACCTAAAAAAACTTTCTTTTCTCTTACAGAAAATGTAAAACTTCAGGAAGTCACCAATTTAAAAATCCAAAATCAAATACCAAAGAATATTAATAATAAGTATAATATAAATGTGATATCGTCAATATTTGTTACAAAAATATTGACAATAAAAAAAATTATAAACCAACAATAAAAAATCTAAAAAAAGTAGACTTAAGAAGTAAGACTAATAAGTTGTAACTGGAACTAGCACTAGCCAAACTCAAACAGCAATCAATCAGCAACGCCTTCATCAGCAACCAGCATTAAAACTCCTGTAAAAGTGTTACACAGCAACAGCAGCCAAATGTCCTCAAACAGTTTATTAAATGGTAGATCTCTAATACATGAAGGCAATTATTAACATGTCCTTCTTAAAAGATAAATAATAACTTTGTTTTCCCTTGCACAGGTGCTCGTTCAAATCGTCGTTCACTGGTGTCTATGATATTGGGCCTAATAATAGGCTTCTGTTTAGCTGAGCTATTCGTTTTATCTACACCCGCTAAGCCGGAATGGCTGTTATATGAGGGTCATCGTCATGGTGATATTAATGATCCACATGCTAGTCATGATCTTATCGATGCCTCTGGGCCCGAATTGGATGTGGGTTTTCATCAACATGAACACGAAAACAGTTCGGTGGCCCAGAAATTGTACAGTGAGGTACGTGTTCTTTGCTGGATCATGACAAATCCTAAAAATCATAAAACCAAAGCACGTCATGTTAAGCGCACCTGGGGTAAACGCTGTAATAAGTTAGTGTTCATGAGCTCGGAAGAGGATAAAGATTTGGGCACTGTAGCTTTGCCGGTTTCCGAGGGCCGTAATAATTTGTGGGCCAAAACCAAAGAGGCCTATAAATATATTTACGAACATCATTTAAATGATGCCGATTGGTTTTATAAAGCTGATGATGATACTTATGCAATTGTAGAGAATTTACGTTATCTACTCTATCCCTATAATCCCGAAACTCCCATATATTTTGGTTGCAAATTTAAACCGTTTGTTAAGCAGGTGACTTATAATAATCTTAAATTATAATTAATATAAAATTACTTAACTGAATTTCTTTATTATTCCCAAAAGGGCTACATGTCCGGTGGTGCTGGCTATGTTTTAAGCAAAGAAGCTGTACGGCGTTTTGTGGAACAGGCCATACCCAATAAGAAATTATGTCGTGCTGACAATGATGGTGCCGAAGATGTGGAAATTGGCAAATGTTTGGAAAAGGTTAATGTAATCGCTGGCGATTCACGTGACCATCAAGCAAGAGGCAGATTTTTCCCTTTCGTTCCAGAACATCATTTAATACCTCATCATACGGATAAGAAATTTTGGTATTGGCAGTATATTTATTATAAAACAGATGAGGTAAGTTGAAGAGGGGAATTTGATCAAGCTAGATCAAGCCTACCAATGGCATAGGAAATGTTCCGGCATTTCTCCACATTCATCTGAAACCGTTAGTCCAATTTTTTATTGTTGAACTTGTCTTTATAATAACCTCAGACATTTTCGTTCTGTAAAGGGTTCTCGTCGTCGTCAGTTCCTTTATTTGAATGGAATTCTGTCGTTCATGTTTTTTTTAAAGTAATCGTTGCATCAAGCAGTTTGCCACTTAATAGGAAAACTTTTTTAAGCTTCTTTTATATCCTCAATTGGTCTGATGCGCATATGATTACAATTAGTCCTCTTGGTAGACCCCATAATAAGTAGTTTTATAGTCTTCACGAGCGTCTTGCATACTACTAACTAACTAACTAACTAACTAACTAACTAACTAACTAACTAACTAACTAACTAACTAACTCCTAACTAACTACTAACTAACTAACTAACTAAACTAACTAACTAACTAACTAACTAACAACTACTAACTAACTAACTAACTACTACTAACTAACTAACTAACTACTAACTAACTAACTAACTAACTAACTAACTAACTAACTACCTACTAACTACTAACTAACTAAAACAACTAACTAACTACTAACTTAACTAAACTAACTAACTAACTAACTAACTAACTAACTACTAACTAACTAACTAACTAACTAACTAACTAACTAACTAACTAACTACAACTACTAACTACTAACTAACTACTACTAACTAACACTAACTACTAACTAACTAACTAACTAACTAACTAACTAACTAACTACTAACTAACTAACTAACTAACTACTAACTAACTAACTAACACTAACTAACTACTAACTAACTACTACTAACTAACTAACTACCTAACTAACTAACTAACTAACTAACTAACTAACTAACTAACTAACTAACTAACTAACTAACTAACTACTAACTAACTAACTAACTAACTAACTAACTACTAACTAACTAACTAACTAACTAACTAACTAACTAACTAACTAACTAACTACTAACTACTAACTACTAACTCTAACTAACTAACTAACTACTAACTAACTAACTAACTAACTAACTACTAACTAACTAACTAACTAACTAACTAACTACTAACTAACTAACTAACTAACTACTAACTAACTACTACTAACTAACTAACTAACTAACTAACTACTAACTAACTACCTAACTACTAACTAACTAACTAACTAACTATTGCGTGGTCCACTTATTGTTGATTCTCTACCTTTTGTAATGGTCTACATCAATTTTGGCTGTCGAGTTTCCTGTGTCGTATTCTGCTTACCTAAGATTGTCTCTGTCTCTTCTATTAGGCGTCTACCTCTTCTTCCAGGTTGGTAGGTGCTTCTTGTTATATTGATATTCACCGAGATGTTCAGAGTGCAAACATTAGTATGGTGGCTACTTTATAATCATCAGGTGCCTAACATGTGGCCTGTCCCATGCTCACGCTCTCTAGTGTTAGTTTGAACGTGGTCCATCTTATTGTAGACTCAATTTTCGACCTTCTGTAATGGTTTATGACAATTTTCTCTGTCGTATTTCTGGCGTCGTATTCTGCGTAGCTAAGATTATCTCTGTCTCTTCTATTAGACGTCTGCCTATTCTACCACATTGGTAGGTGCTTCTTTTTAAATACCTTTTCGTTTGAGGTTTTTTTGAAAGCTATCCACCTAGATCTTCAGAGTGCAAGCTTTAGCCAACTTTATAATCATCAGGTGCCCCGCTAAAGTCGTTGTTGTAACAGTTTGACTGTGACCTATAGTACTTTTCTATGGAAAAAAACTATCGTTTAATACAGCTGTCGCTGGGTCGACAATTTTTGGCCGAGTATGACTTGGGTCGTTCCTAAGAGCGCCCCACCGAAGTCGCTGCTGATGCTCCCCATTAGTAGTTTGCCTTAGAAATGATTATGTGTTCCACTGTCTTATTATTGACCAAATCTTCTACTTTACCATACGATTCTATTGGAATTCGGCCTTCGAGTTACAGGCAGCGTATTCTGTATAGTTGAGATTTTAGGTGACTTCTCGTAACTAATTTGAAAGTAGATGACAGCTCTTGGCTCTTTTCAACGCCTATATTTTCTTTAGCAGAGCTTCTTTTGGAGTTGATTTGACCAATGTGCCTGCATTCACAATAGCTTGCTTGGTTTCCTATCCCTCACTCGTACAACTGTGCCAGGGTCCTTTGAGGAAGCTATAGCTTTTACTCACCTCTTCCACCATTAGCTCTACTTCATCCTAATTAGGATTAGGAATGATGGTGTTGTTATTATTATATAAGGTTCGCTACGGTAATGGGCATTATTTCCTTTCCATTGGTGAGAGTAGATGGATCGTCCATTAACTTCCCCTATCCATGAACTTTTCCCTGCCAAACTTGTTAATTGTTTTCTCAGTGTTTTTGTTGGGTATTGAAGATTGCAGGAGCGCTACAAAATCCGTTCATTTCAAGACCTATTATGCAGCTTTAATACTTGTCAGATCGAAGTAATTGAGGTTAATGCTTTTAAAGAATCTATGCTGGTGATGAGCTACTTTAAGATAGCGAGCAGCTGGGAGAGGGGAAAATTCTTAAGAGCCTTCGAGTTTCATCAAACTTGTTAGACGTTGGATTAGTTAGATGCAGCAAGTTCCTAAAAGAGTGAATTTGAGATACTGATATTCATATTACAGAAGTTCTATAATATCAATGTTGACTTTTGCGTTCTCAACCTGTTAATGTATATTTTAAGAAATTATCTTATTCAGTTTTTATCCTAAATAATATTCTTAACTTTTACTATCACTTCCAGGGTCTTGACTGCTGTTCAGATTATGCCATTTCATTTCACTATGTAACACCAAATCAAATGTATGTTTACGACTACTTAATCTATCATCTGCGACCCTATGGTCTAATTAATGCTCCCGAACCACTACCAGAAAAATTAAAAGTCGGTGAAACAGAAGCACCACCTGTAGAACCGGAGAATCAAGCCCAAACAGTGGAGTCATAAAATTAAATTAGTAATAATTTAGAAATTCATAAAATTACACAGATTTTACTATAAAATTTAATTATTATTTTAAGAATTTTTTGGTTTGTATAAAATTCAAGAGTAAACATGAATAATAGAGAGGACATAAAGATAGTGTGTCTTAAACTGGAGTTTCCCCTCTATATGTTTTCTCTATGCCATAAAAACTTGTATATAGGAAATATTTGTATTTAAATTATTGATAATTTTTGCCATAAATGTTTTATTATTTTATTATTGTTTTATTATTATTCTTTTTTTAAATTTGTTTAATTAATATTTTATTACTCGTATACATAATTTTTGTTTATGTAATTGTGCATATTAATTAAAAATTAAAGAAAAAAAAAAACTTAGTTAGCTTTAAAAAAAAAAGAGAAATTTCCTTTAAATAATTTTAATATTTAAATTAGATTATAAGTAATTTTTACATTTATAGCTGGTATTTTGTAAACTTGTTCATTTTATTTTATAAAAGCCATTACTGTAGGGTGTTTGTTCAAAGTTTGATTAAATTTTTCCGAAATTCTTAATATGGAATATTTAATAGTGAAGTCTATTAGAGCTGATGTATTGGCAATTAATATCTCATAAAATATATGCTTTAGTGACTTCTATTAGATATAGTCCAGTGTAAGAAAAACCCTTGTATATCATGGCGGATACATATAGTTATAATGTTCTATAAGAAATACTAGATTCAAGATGTTTCTGAAAATATTACTTAATTGTCCGCGCCTTAGAACATACGTGGGCTTAGATTACTTTGTGATATTGGGATCAAACCATATATCGTTTCTACATAGAATATCATGGTCAATGGAAACGTTAGACCTTATACTCGTAGAAATCCGTTGTTACACGGATGACTCTAAACGGGGGACAAACCCAGCCTGGGATTCTACATTGAAAACACAGAAGCAGAAATTTATTTCGATCTAACGAGTCATATTATTAGCGTCCGGGTAGAAGTACGTGCAAGAACGGAATATATAAGTTTGATTAGAATAAATATGGCGCCATTAGGGATTAACATATTTAACGATATCCAAAAGGCAATTAAAACGATATCAGGTGTTAATGATATATCTTAGACCGTATTGGGTTAAAATAGAGGTTTGAAGCTTTACATGTGGTAGAACGAAATAGCGAATATACTTGCTAAAAAGAGCAGGGAACTGGAACCGTACGAAGCCACGAGGACTGAATTAAAACATATGGGAGAAGTTTACCAAAATGAGCAGATCTATGATTAATATGATGGGAATAAAGGATTAAGAGGAATTTTGAAATCACTTTCTCTGCGTCAACAAGTAAGCCAAATGTTCTTGATCGCTCTACAAGTGAGCTCTTTCTTCCGTCTTTCTTTGGTAAGATTTTCTCTAAGATATTTCTCGAATTGTCTTCGTATTCTTTCACCGTTTAATGTCGACGTTTAAATGGAAAATGCCCTCTTTATATCGAACGATTTGTGCGCTTCAATCGTGGAATATTCGATCGCTTGGACATCGAAATTTGAAATAAAAAAGTTCCACAACTAACCCACAAAGTGAATACTTATTTCTCAATCATTCAGATTAAAGTGGTCCAGACGCTTTAGTTATTATCTGTGAAGTTCACAGAGTAAACCCTTGAAAGGTTAACCGATGAATGCCTCGTTCTATCTTTAATCGTAGGACGGTATTCTTCAATAATTCGGTTTAAAAGTGGTCATGACTCTTTAGTTATTGTCTGTGAACTCTTGAAAAGTTAAACGGTGAATGCCTTGTAAAATTATCGAAGTGGTATTCACTTTCTCTAGTGATCTAGAACTGAACCAAATATCCTATCTGCGTCTAATTTTAAAGCTTAGTTCTCCATATTCCGGTAGGGTAACTGTAAACATTGCTATATGTATTTCACCGTCAATTCTTTCTTGTGCCTCCAAAGAAAAGTGGTGAATTGTTTAGGTCGATTCAAAAGTCGCTTTCCTTTAATAACACAGACCAACAAAAATTGAAAAAGAAAAACACATACTTTTCCAAAAGTCTTAATTGCACTAAATCCAATTATGTCTTCCAGTCCATTACGTTTACAATATATCTCGAAGAAAGATGACAGAGGTTAAAATTTTATTTTAATGTCGGCAGATTGGACAGATTTTATAAATAAAGATGCTTCCAAGCTATTATAATGTCTCAAATAAGGTCATAGGTTTTCAAAAATTTTAGATCTGAAATCTCTAAGACTTGATATCATGAAGAGATTCTGAGACCAGATTCAGCGCAACTCAATTCTTCAGAAAAGCCGCTTAAATTCATTGGTTCTTTAACATTTTAGCCTTCAAGTTTCCTTATTATATAATCACTTAACAGTAATGGCTTACGCAGTCATTATAGCATAAAAACATTAAAGCCATTCTTTTTAATTTAAATTAGTTAAATAATTAAATTAAGTGTATGATTTTGTGTTTGAAATGTTTTAACTTTTGTACAAATATCTCTTACCTCCAATTAAACGATTACGACTATATACTCGTAAAATGCAAAGTAATATATGATAACATAACATTTTTTAATCAAAAATAATTTTAAGTAAATTGTTATAGTTTCTTTTTGCAAATACAAAATTTTTCATTATTTTTTTTTTTCCTAAGCACAAAAGATTTGAATTTTTTAATTTGTTACAAAAAAAAAAAATTAAAAAAGAATGAAATAATTATAAAGCTCTCGCTCGCATTTATTATAAACTAGTACTACTTACCATAACTTTTAATGTGAATAATATAAAATTAATAAAAATAAATGAAATTAATAATTCAAATTAAAATTTTGTTTGTTTTATTATAGTTTTCTAATTATCTGTTTTCAGAAAATGTTTAAAATTTAAATGTATGTAAGAAAATAGGTTCCTTTTAAAAATTTAACATTGCCAAGGTATCTCTCTGGTGGAACATTGAGGTACGAATTCACATGTGAAATTTCAAATTCAAATTGGACTAACCGTTACACTTTCTATTTCTATCTATACCACTGAACTAGAACTATACCAGAAATTAACTAGAACTGAAGTAGAACTGAACTAAACAGAACTAGAATTTAAACTAGAACTGAACTAGAACTTAACTTGAACCTAACTAGAACTGAACTAGAACTGAACTAGAACTGAACTAGTACTGAACTAGAACTAAACTAGAACTGAACTAGAACTGAACTAGAACTGAACTAGAACTGAACTAGAACTGAACAAGAACTGAACTAGAACTGAACTAGAACTGAACTAGAACTGAACTAGAACTGAACTAGAACTGAACTAGAACTGAACAAGAACTAAACTAGAACTGAACTAGAACTGAACTAGAACTGAACTAGAACTGAACTAGAACTGAACTAGAACTGAACTAGAACAGAACTAGAACTGAACTAGAACTGAACTAGAACTAAAACTGAACTAGAACTGAACTAGAACTGTACTAGAACTTAACTAGAACTGAACTAGTACTGAACTAGAACTGAATTAGAACTGAACTAGAACTGAACTAGAACTGAACTAGAACTGAACTTGAACTGAACTAGAACTGAACTAGAACTGAACTAGAACTGAACTAGAACTGAACTAGAACTGAACTAGAACTGAACTAGAACTGAACTAGAACTGAACTAGAACTGAACTAGAACTGAACTAGAACTGAACTTGAACTGAACCAGAACTGAACCAGAACTCAACTACAACTGAACTAGAACTGAACTAGAACTGAACTAGAACTGAACTAGAACTGAACTAGAACTGAACTAGAACTGAACTAGAACTGAACTAGAACTGAACTAGAACTGAACTAGAACTGAACTAGAACTGAACTAGAACTGAACTAGAACTGAACTAGAACTGAACTAGAACTGAACTAGAACTGAACTAGAACTGAACTAGAACTGAACTAGAACTGAACTAGAACTGAACTAGAACTGAACTAGAACTGAACTAGAACTGAAATAGAACTGAACTGGAACTGAACTAGAACTGAACTAGAACTGAACTAGAACTGAACTAGAACTGAACTAGAACTGAAATAGTACTGAACTAGAATTGAACTAAAACTGAATTAGAACTGAACTAGAACTAGAACTGAACTAGAACTGAACTAGAACTGAACTAGAACTGAACTAGAACTGAACTGAACTAGAACTGAACTGAACTAGAACTGAACTAGAACTGAACTAGAACTGAACTAGAACTAGAACTGAACTAGAACTGAACTAGAACTGAACTAGAACTGAACTAGAACTGAACTAGAACTGAACCTAGAACTGAACTAGAACTGAACTAGAACTGACTAGACTGAACTAGAACTGAACTAGAACTGACTAGAACTGAACTAGAAGACTGAACTAGAACTGAACTAGAACTGAACTAGAACTGAACTAGAACTGAACTAGAACTGAACTAAAGAACTGACTAGAACTGAACTAGAACTGAACTAGAACTGACTAGAACTGAACTAGAACTGAACTAGAACTGAACTAGAACTGAACTAGAACTGAACTAGAACTGAACTAGAACTGAACTAGAACTGAACTAGAACTGAACTAGAACTGAACTAGAACTGAACTGAACTAGAACTGAACTAGAACTGAACTAGAACTGACTAGAACTGAACTAGACTAACTAGAACTGAACTAGAACTGAACTAGAACTGAACTAGAAACTGAACTAGAACTGAACTAGAACTGAACTAGAACTGAACTAGAACTGAACTAGAACTGAACTAGAACTGAACTAGAACTGAACTAGAACTGAACTAGAACTGAACTAGAACTGAACTAGGAAACTGAACTAGAACTGAACTAGAACTGAACTAGAACTGAACTAGAACTGAACTAGAACTGACTAGAACTGAACTAGACTGAACTAGAACTGAAACTAGAACATGAACTAGAACTGAACTAGAACTGAACTAGAACTGAACTAGAACTGAACTAGAACTGAACCTAGAACTGAACTAGAACTGAACTAGAACTGAACTAGAACTGAACTAGACTGAACTGAACTGAACTAGAACTGAACTAGAACTGAACTAGAATTGAACTAGAACTGAACTAGAACTGAACTGAACTGAACTAGACTGAACTAGAACTGAACTAGAACTTAACTAGAACGGAACTAGAACTGAACTAGAACTGAACTAGAAACTGACTAGAACTGAACTAGAACTGAACTAGAACTGAACTGAACTAGAACAGACTAGAACTAGAACTAGAAGCTGAACTAGAACTGAACTATAACTGAACTAGAACTGAACTAGAACTTAACTAGAACTGAACTAGAACTGAACTAGAACTGAACTAGAACTGAACTAGAACTGAACTAGAACTGAACTAGAACTGAACTAGAACTCAACTGAACTAGAACAGAACTAGAACTGAACTAGAACTAAAACTGAATTAGAACTGAACTAGAACTGTACTAGAAATGAACTAGAACTTAACTAGAACTGAACTAGAACTGAACTAGAACTGAACTAGAACTGAACTAGAACTGAACTAGAACTGAACTAGAACTGAACTAGAACTGCACTAGAACTGAACTTGAACTGAACCAGAACTGAACCAGAACTCAACTAGAACTGAACTAGAACTGAACTAGAACTGAACTAGAACTGAACTAGAACTGAACTAGAACTGAACTAGAACTGAACTAGAACTGAACTAGAACTGAACTAGAACTGAACTAGAACTGAACCAGAACTGAACAAGAACTGAACAGAACTTGAACTGAACTTGAACTGAACTTGAACTGAACTAGAACTGAACTAGAACTGAACTAGAACTGAACTAGAACTGAACTAGAACTGAACTAGAACTGAACTAGAACTGAACTAGAACTGAACTAGAACTGAACTAGAACTGAACTAGAACTGAACCAGAACTGAACAAGAACTGAACAGAACTTGAACTGAACTTGAACTGAACTTGAACTGAACTAGAACTGAACTAGAACTGAACTAGAACTGAACTAGAACTGAACTAGAACTGAACTGGAACTGAACTAGAACTGAACTAGAACTGAACTAGAACTGAACTAGAACTGAACTAGAACTGAACTAGAACTGAACTAGAACTGAACTAGAATTGAACTAAAACTGAATTAGAACTGAACTAGAACTAGAACTGAACTAGAACTGAACTAGAACTGAACTAGAACTGAACTAGAACTGAACTAGAACTGAACTAGAACTGAACTAGAACTGAACTGGAACTGAACTAGAACTGAACTAGAACTGAACTAGAACTAGAACTGAACTAGAACTGAACTAGAACTGAACTAGAACTAAACTAGAACTGAACTAGAACTGAATTAGAACTGAACTAGAACTGAACTAGAACTGAACTAGAACTGAATTAGAACTGAACTAGAACTAAATTAGAACTGATCTAGATATTAACTAGAGCCGCTAGAAATAAACTAGAATTGAACTGAAACTTAATTTGAAAAATCTGATATGTATGTGAAAGCCCAATCTGTCGACATTATAGTAAAGGTTTAACTTCTATCATATCTTCATCCTTCTTCGGCAGATCCTTTATTGGGCGATATCTCCGTAAAGACAAAGAGATTTCTTTAACCATAAGTTTATGGAAAAATTATAACAAATTGAGATATATTTTTTTAAACATATAAACTAATAAAGTCGTATAAATAAAGCAATTTTTCCAAATGTTTATGCTTTCAATGACGGTCTCTTCTAAGTGCCGCTATATTTAAACTACCTATTAACTATGATCTAACATCACACATGTTGTGGGGAATCACCCAAAATAAATTCGTTTATAAATTAATCCCGATATCATTATTATTAATTCATGAGTCATTTACGATTAAGTGATTTTCAGAAGAGGGTTTAATATGGGAGCTATATTCAGTTATGGACCGATCCAGGTTTTAATGCGTACAACAATATCTATTGATCTGGAATTTCTAAGCGACAGTTCTGATCGGGATAAAATTATAAAATTATATCGTCACCTGAAACGCAAACGGCCCTATCTAACATTTTTAAAATTTTACAGAAGAAACAAACAACTATTTAAATTGAAAAGTTTGTTTCTATCAACGCGATTTATTTGTAGTAAATTAACAAATTGTTTAATAGTGAAACTTATCATTTGTTATGATAGTGGACAATGGCGTATATAAAAATGGATAAATTGGACTTCTTGCCTTTAAAGGGCCTTTTGTTTTTTTTGTCAATAAAATTGATAAATTTGGTTGGAGGATTCCAATTTTTGGTGTGGACATTTGTTTTGATGCAATACATTAGCATCAACAATAAAATCAATTTTGAATTTTTAGTTAGTTAGGGTCGTTTGCGTTTCAGGTGACGATATATACTTCTTACGTTTAAAATTTTATATTGGAGAAATTACACACATAATTAGAAATTTATATAGATAAAAAAAATTTTTAATTAATTTTATTTATAATGCATTGCAATGCATTGTAGTGTGTGTGTGTGATAAAATCATTGCAATGATTTTATCACAAAAACATTTCTTTACAATTATTTTTACTTAACTTTCAACTTTGAGTTATTAAAAAATATATAAAATTTATATTTGTCTTTTTATACTCACCATCAAAAAGAAAAAGATGGGAGTATATACTTTCATCATTCCGTTTGTAACACAATGAAATATTGTGGCACAAACGTTTAAATATTGTGGATCTTTATAAGATTCTATGATGATATCTAGCTATCTCATGAGAAAACTAAAATTTTGTTTTTTGTTTGATATAGAAAATGGGACTTTATATGATATATTTGAAAATAAAAAAATGTCAAATGTCTATAGCTCGGAAATTATAATAGATAAATAGCATACTCAGGAATGAAAATCTGTAATCGGATGGGATACTGCCGCCCCTGGAGTATTTGTGGGATCCTTTTTCAAAACTTTCCCCTTTAGCTAAGCTTAGGTTAAATGTTATACCGATCATACTAGCAGATTTATATCAAAAATAAAATGTCATTCTGGCCCATTATGTATCGTTATCATATGTTTTAGTGCTATATAAGATTCGGCGTAGTCGATTGTATTGTTGAAAACAAATTACATAAAATATCTAACAATTAAATCTGTTATTAGAATTTCCCACTATAAAAAACGTTTTTTTTTTTGTATGTGCAGATATCGAGGTTTCTAAACATTTTTTTCCGGTTGAGATAAGAATTTAACATGATTTTCATGTTTTCAATACTGAAAGTATTTCAAAAGTTTCTAATACCTTCATTTTGTAGTTAAAATTTAGATGGCAATAAAAGTGGTATAAATTTTATTTCTATTAAAAGAAAGGGAAAAAATTCAATTTAATTTTTGCATTTTTCGAGAAGTATTGAGACAATATTTGTAAGTATTTTAAATATGTTAGTTTTGGACATCCACCGCAACACACTGGGACAGAATTTAATAGACGTCTACAGCTATCTGCATAAAATTTGATTTGATGGCTTAGACCACGAGTATTCGAGTTTAAGTTTTTAATATGGACCCCAAACAAGTTTCAAAAATGTAACATGATTAAATGGGTGCAATTTTTTGGATTCCCATCCCATTTCAAAGCCTATAGTCTAGACTATAGACTAGACTATAGTCTAGACTATCGACTAGACTATAGACCAGACTATAGACTAGACTATAGACTAGATTATAGACTAGACCAGACTATAGACTAGACTATAGACTAGACTATAGACTAGACTATAGACTAGAATATAGACTAGACTATAGACTAGACCAGGGGTCGGCAAACTTTTGAGTCGGAAGAGCCAAAATTTACAGTTTACAAAAAATATGTTTTAAAAGAGCCACAAAATTGTTGTGTATTAAAACTTTACAAATACTTTATGAATTCACTTCAAAAACATAAAGTTGGTTTAATTATCTACAGGACATTCTGCAAGGAATCTTTCTTATAGATTTTTGACTACAAATACTTTTTGAATTTTTATGGGTCATTCGAATGCATTTTTTAAACACTCGTTATATAAAAATATAGAATTTTATTAGAGTAGGGCGACAGTGTTATCATTTAAAAGGCATTTGGAAACATATCAGGAAATGTAAAAATCACGAAAATTGATGACGCAGCTAATACAGTATAAAGTAATATATTAATTTGGCGGCAATCGAGATAAATATTTTACCAACCCCAATATTAGGTCCTTTTCAGAAACTTCGGAAAATAACTTTAACGTTCATAACTGATTTAATTAACGCACATGCTTAATAATACCAGCATAGTGGTGCAATTCGTCATAAACAAGTTTATAGGAACAAAAATATCTGTACCAAATTTAATAAGGATGGATTCAGAATTGACCCTACCCACCCATATAGTGTCCACTTTCGAAAACGACGAAAAATACAAGTATAGTGATGAAAATCAACACAAACAAGTAGGATCCAAAATTTCATTACCAAATTTTGTAAGGATGGGTCGGTCCATAATACGCTTTCTGGTACCTTATTTATAGCCAAAAATTGTATGTCAAAAATATATCAATCTTTTATAGATCACTGTAAAACGTTTCTAAAACGCGCAATATTTAAATATTGAAGTTTTTAAATAGAACAAGTTTTTAGTATTTACCCAGCAAAAACTCGGTAATGGGTTGTACTTCCATAACCACTTACTTTTCAATAACTACTACTTACCGTCTGCATTACTTAGAAGTACTCTAGTAATGACTTTCTTATAATCTGATATAGAAGTACTTTATTTTCGGCTTTGTCATTTTGTTTGCATATTTTATTTAATTGCGTTTTAAGAATTGTGTTTTACAAAAAATAAAACAAAATTAATTTTGATTGTGAAAACCATTATTTGATGCTCAATAAAAAAGCTAAGGAGTGGTACAGTGTGTAGAACATTTGACTAAAAAATCGAAGTACCTGGTTCGTATTCTAGCTGGATCTGTTTATTATTAAAAAACAAAACAACTTACTCAACAACTGTTTTGTAAGAGAAATTGCAAGTACTTCTTTAACTTCCTATTAGTAAGCGTGCGTAGAAGTACTTGCCTCCAATGACATCACCGTGTTTAAATAATGACTTAAAATGCTAATGAAGAAGTAGTGAAAAGAAATTTTATTAGCTTTTTAACTCATTACTTTTCAATGTAAGTTTTTCCTGGGTAACTGTGTTCAAACTCTTTACATTATTAAGTAATTATTTAATTACTATATTTTCAATTTCCAAAAAATATGTTTTAATTCGAAAAACACGAAAATTTCGGAATGTATGATTATGTTTTACATTTTATCTAATGGCACATCGTAAGAGCGCTCATGATACCCCATCGTTTATAGGGAACTTTTCAACTAAAAATTTAAATAATTAAAAATTTTCTTACAATGCTAACTTGTACATGGAACAAATTCATAGGAGAGATAGGTTTGTATAGCTTTAGAAAGTTTGGATCATAACGTGTTGTTTAAAGTTTCAGAAACGACTCTTAACTTTCATTTGTTAGTTGTCTCACATACGGAACGATTAAACAAAGTTGAAATGTCGTGTGTTTTGTAGAAACGTTTGCGAATTGTTTTGTCAGTTTTAACAAACACTGTTCGTTAATCTATTCAGAAAGATATATATTTTTTTATAAAATAAAAAAATTGCGTATGAAACTAAAGAGCCATAGCTCCACATCCAAAGAGCCGCATTTGGCTCGCGAGCCGTAGTTTGCCGACCCCTGGACTAGACTATAGACTAGACTATAGACCAGACTATATAGTAGACTATAGACTAGACTATAGACAGACTAGACTACTATAGACTAGACTATAGACTGACTATAGACTAGACTATAGACTAGACTATAGACTAGACTAGACTATAGACTAGACTATAGACTAGACTATAGACTAACTATAGACTAGACTATAGACTAGACTATAGACTAGACTATAGACTAGACTATAGACTAGACTATAGACTAGACTATAGACTAGACTATATACTAGACTATAGACTAGACTATAGACTAGACTATAGACTAGACTATAGACTAGACTATAGACTAGACTATAGACTAGACTATAGACTAGACTATAGACTAGACTATAGACTATAGACTAGACTATAGACTAGACTATAGACTAGACTATAGACTAGACTATAGACTAGACTATAGACTAGACTATAGACTAGACTATAGACTAGACTATAGACTAGACTATAGACTAGACTATAGACTAGACTATAGACTAGACTATAGACTAGACTATAGACTAGACTATAGACTAGACTATAGACTAGACTATAGACTAGACTATAGACTAGACTATAGACTAGACTAGACTATACTAGACTATAGACTAGACTATAGACGACTATAGACTAGACTATAGACTAGACTATAGACTAGACTATAGACTAGACTATAGACTAGACTATAGACTAGACTATAGACTAGACTATAGACTAGACTATAGACTAGACTATAGACTAGACTATAGACTAGACTATAGACTAGACTATAGACTAGACTATAGACTAGACTATAGACTAGACTATAGACTAGACTAGACTAGACTATAGACTAGACTATAGACTAGACTATAGACTAGACTATAGACTAGACTATAGACTAGACTATAGACTAGACTATAGACTAGACTATAGACTAGACTATAGACTAGACTATAGACTAGACTATAGACTAGACTATAGACTAGACTATAGACTAGACTATAGACTAGACTATAGACTAGACTATAGACTAGACTATAGACTAGACTATAGACTAGACTATAGACTAGACTATAGACTAGACTATAGACTAGACTATAGACTAGACTATAGACTAGACTACTAGACTAGACTATAGACTAGACTATAGACTAGACTATAGACTAGACTATAGACTAGACTATAGACTAGACTATAGACTAGACTATAGACTAGACTATAGACTAGACTATAGACTAGACTATAGACTAGACTATAGACTAGACTATAGACTAGACTATAGACTAGACTATAGACTAGACTATAGACTAGACTATAGACTAGACTATAGACTAGACTATAGACTAGACTATAGACTAGACTATAGACTAGACTATAGACTAGACTATAGACTAGACTATAGACTAGACTATAGACTAGACTATAGACTAGACTATAGACTAGACTATAGACTAGACTATAGACTACTAGACTAGACTATAGACTAGACTAGACTAGACTATAGACTATAGACTATAGACTAGACTAGACTAGACTATACTAGACTAGACTAGACTAGACTATAGACTAGACTAGACTAGACTAGACTAGACTAGACTAGACTAGACTAGACTAGACTAGACTAGACTATAGACTAGACTACACTATAGACTAGGCTAGACTAGACTATAGACTAGACTATAGACTAGACTATAGACTAGACTATAGACTAGACTATAGACTAGACTGGACTATAGACTAGACTACAGACTAGACTATAGTCTAGACTATAGACTAGACTATAGACTAGACTATAGACTAGACTATAGACTAGACTATAGACTAGACTGGACTATAGACTAGACTACAGACTAGACTATAGTCTAGACTATAGACTAGACTATAGACTAGACTATAGACTAGACTATAGACTAGACTATAGACTAGACTATAGACTAGACTATAGACTAGACTATAGACTAGACTATAGACTAGACTATAGACTAGACTATAGACTAGACTATAGACTAGACTATAGACTAGACAGATGTCTAAGTAATAAAAAAAATTAAATCACTTCGGTCCAAAATACTGCCCCACTGTGTGTTTGGTCTCTTGAATTTACCTATTTTCCTATATACTTCTTGAAATATTTTAGATTATTTTCGTAAGATAATAAAAAACCAATAACTAAAATCAGGACAACCAACCAAGACAAACTCAAGCAACAATCACTAACCAACACCTTCGTTCATCAGCACAAGAACTGAACTCTTTCAAAAGTATTCCCAAGTAACAGCAGACAAATGTCATCAAGCTGTATATTTATTGGTAGACCTATAAAACATGAAGGCAATTGTTTGTTTTTTCCTTCTACAGGATTGCGTTCAAATCGTCGTTGCTTGCTATCTATGATATTGGGCCTACTAATAGGCTTCTGTTTAGCTAAATTTTTCATCTTATCCATACCAGTCAAGCTGCTGAGTAAGAGACACAGTTATGGTAATGTTAATGATAGATATGCTAGTCATGATCTCAACTATGCCTCTGGACCCGAGTTGGATGTGGGTTTTCATCAACATAATCAAGAAAATAGTTCAGTGGCGGAGAAATTGTACAGCGAGGTACGTGTTCTATGTTGGATCATGACAAATCCTGAAAATCACAAAAGTAAAGCACGTCACGTTAAGCGTACCTGGGGAAAACGCTGTAATAAGTTATTGTTCATGAGTTCGCAGGAGGATAAAGTTTTAGGCACTGTAGCTTTGCCGGTTTCCGAGGGTCGTAATAATTTGTGGGCCAAAACCAAAGAGGCCTATAAATATATCTATGAACATCATTTAAATGATGCCGATTGGTTTTATAAAGCTGATGATGATACTTATGCGATTGTAGAGAATTTACGTTATCTACTTTATCCCTATAATCCCGAAACTCCCATATATTTTGGTTGCAAATTTAAACCATTTGTTAAGCAGGTGAGTTAAAATAATCTTAAAGTATAATTAATATAATTACTTAAGTGAATTTGTATTTTATTGCTAAAGGGCTATATGTCGGGAGGCGCTGGCTATGTTTTGAGTAAAGAAGCTGTGCGGCGATTTGTGAAACAAGCTATACCCAATAAGGACTTGTGTCGTGCTGAAAATGATGGTGATGAGGATGTGGAAATTGGCAAATGTTTGCAAAATGTTAATGTAACCGCGGGCGATTCACGTGACCATCAAGCGAGAGGTAGATTTTTCCCTTTCATTCCAGAACATCATTTAATACCCGGTACGGATAGAAAATATTGGTACTGGGAGTATATTTTTTACAAAACTGACGAGGTAAGTAAAATAGGAGATTAGTTTTTATCCTTAATAATATATTTTACATTTCAATCTCTTCTAGGGTCTTGACTGCTGTTCAGATTATGCCATTTCATTTCACTATGTAACACCAAATCAAATGTATGTTTACGACTATTTAATCTATCATCTAAGGCCATATGGCCTAATTAATCCGCCGGAATCACTACCAGAAAAATTAAAAGTTGGTGAAACAGAAGCTCCACCTGTGGAACCGGAAAACCAAGGTCAAACAGTAGAATCATAAAATTAGTTTAGTATTTATTATTAGTACTTGTATACATAATTTTTGTTTATGTAATTGTGTATATTGATTAAGAAATTAGTTAGTTATTAAAAATCCACATCTAGTGAAGTATTTGTTAGATGGAAATACGATCTCCACACATTGGACCCACTGCAGTAGATCGGGTATGAACAGAATAATGACAAAGAAATAAACTAGAACGATAACATGGGCCAAGACATTTTTAATCCAAATACCAAAAGAAAATTATACTTTTTGAATTTGTTTAAGTTTTCGAGATGTCGTATCATGGATGGAAGCCATATGCTTCCAAGAAGGATAAACGGGAAAAAGTTAAAAATCATGGCAAGTTGCATATTTTATCCATAGAATCACCTTAGTACGACAGAGACGATTTGCATTCGTTCAGTAGCAAGCCAGTCGCATGAACTTTTTGTGTATAGCACTCATGATGGGTGGTTCCATAGCAAAAATCTAGGTGATGTACATAGTTACTTAGTGGTTTAAATCAGAAATGATATCAGTGGGTTTTTCAAAAGATGTCGATTTATTCCAAAAAGTATTATAAAATAACTTTTTAATAGAGCACTGACTGGTTTAAGGTCGGGAAAGTCTGGTAACCACATTTGCAACTAGTTATTTTTAGATCCTCGTCGAACAAATATAATTAGTTATTCACTCCAAAAGTAAGTAAGTACTAATCTAAAAGTTTCTCAGATATACTCTATTGTTAATCTGTTAATTTTTTACCCAAATGTTCACTTGGATTTCAAAGTAGTTCCTGCGAAATTTTAGGATTTTACCTGAAGAAGATTCTAGCTGTAATAGTTTTTTAGATAAACAAATTTTTGTTTTTAATTCATATGAGGCTCTGAATACGGCCTTGAGCAGGACTCAACCGAGAGGCATCAATGTTAACTCGGCGAATACAGAAAGATACCAGTGACAGACAAAGTTAAGTACTTAGGTTTAATTCTCGACCGGAAATTAAAATGGAGACACCACTTAGAGGATCAGCAAGGCACATAGGTGCTGGGCGATATGTAGGAGAACTATAGACATGAATTGGGGTCTTAGTCCTACTATGACAAATTGGCTTTATAAAAGTGTAATTAGACCAATTCTAGCTTACGCTTCAATAATCTGGTGGACTGCTTCAGACAAAAACTGCAATATCAAACTACTCCAGGGAGTTCAGCGTACATGCTGCTTGGGTATAAGTGGTGCCATGTGTACTACTTCAACCAAGGCTCTGGAAACGTTGCTAGATATTCCACCCATTGAAACATATTTAATTTACAGACGAACGGCTCTTTACTTTAGGCGAACCGGCCGTTAAGCGGTTATAGGACACGTCATCAATATATACTGGACACATTGGAAGGTTATACACCTGAAGGTTATACGTACCTGATCACATACCAGACATAGAATATATCGGAAACTTTGAAACGCCGATCCCAGATAGAATGTCTTGGTCAAGCGGAAAACTAGAGCAAATACCAGTAGGAATCCGTTGTTACACGGATGGCTCTAAATTTGGGGAATAAAGTGGGCCTGGGGTTCTATATTGAAGACCCAGAAATAGAAATATACCACCGTTTACCAAATTATAACACAAGCTTCCAGGCAGAAGTCTAAGCAATAAGGGAATGTGTAAATTGGATCATAATAAATATGGCGCCCACTGCCCTAAATATATTTACCGACAGCCAGAAGACAATTAGGTCAATATCAGGTGATAGAATTAAATCTAAGACTGTATTGGATTGTAAGAAAGCTTTAAGTGGATACTCTCCCAGTGGTAAGGTTTACATCATATGGGTATCAGGCCACTCGGAAGTAGTCGGCAACGAAAGGGCGAATGTAATAGCCTTAAAGGGAAGGGAGCTCGAGGTAGTTAACCTGACGAACGCAAAACCATTCGACGCAACAAACGCTGAATTAAAAATATGGGTGAGAGAATCCCATAAGACCTCTTGGAATAATAAAACAGTGGGTAGAACCACAAAGATCCTATGGGATGACCCTCATGAGAACAAGACGAGAAATTTCCTCAAAATGAGCTAGACTGAAGTTAGTATGATGGTACGTATTCTGAGTGGACGAGCACATCTATACAAAATTGGCCGTGTAGATTCAGACGATTGTAAAGCATGTTGAGAGGATTGTGAAACTCTGCAGCATTTTCTTTGCCATTGTCAGGCATTCGTCGAAGTTAGTTTCAAGTATCTTGGAAGTGATGTTATTCCGGAAATAACATTCCTAACTAACACTGTTTGCAAAATTCTTAGGAATTACGTCGAGGAAACTGAGTTTCTGAACATTTAAAAATAATATACTTAGTGAACAATTTTTTCATGAAAAGGTGCGCACAACAGACCCGATAGTGGCCTAGGTGTATTTCTTCGGATTTGATGTACTATACATCCTCTTATCAACCTAACCTAACCTTACCTAATTCATATGAGAGGTGAAACGCCTTTTATTGTTAGTCCGCCCACTTTTGCCTTTAATGCTAACTTTGATATTAAAGTGTCTCCGAAAAAATTTGAGAACTCTAGCTGTTATATATTCTAAAATTTTCTAATTTAAGGAAGATCATAGACGTTGCAGTTTCGATAATATGCAACTTTAAATACTTATTTTGTATGTGGGCGTGGCATCTCGCTTACTTGAAATCTTATAACTAAATTGCTTTTCAAATAGATTTTATACTTTTAATGAATAATATTATACAATTGGAGCAGGTTCCTATAAACTAAAGTCAGAGCTCGAGCTACAGATCCTAATGTTATAGTTAAAATTGACGATATCATAATGTTTTTAGATACTTGCCCAAAATCTATACAGATATTGTACCCAATGGCTGAAAACAATGTCTTACTGGAATCTATGCCAATCACAAAAACTTTACGAATGACAGCCCTTTACAATACTTGTGCTGAAACCCAAAACTTTACAATCGTAAACCCAGATGCCAATAATCAACATAAACTAATATAGTTTTATTCAATTCTATAACAAGCTTATAAAACTTACTTAAATCACAATATGCTTAAAAATTGTAACAACAATAAATAAATTATTCTAAATTCTATGACTTGGCGGTGGCGCTTTCAACTTAATTAGACTATAAAGGATTATCCGATATTTCATTACGCCATTTATCTAATAAAACACTCATGTTCTTTTTCGCCGGCATATCAATATTTTTTGGCACTATACCATAGGGTCTTAATTTATAAACCAAAAAATCCATGACATACATATAGTTGGGTTGAACATAATGAAATGATATAGAGTAATCCGAGCAGCAGGAGGGACCCTGAAAGATAGAAGGAAATAATTTTTATTTAAGAAAGTTTTCTTCTAGCAAATTCAACTTACATCTTCGGTTGCATAGAATATATAACGCCAATACCAACTGGATTTGGGTTTTGGTATGATGTGACTATATAAACTGGTGGGGAAAAAGCGTCCGCGCTTAAGCTCATCACGTGTATCACCGGCTACAACTCCAACATTCTGCAAACAAGTACCCATTTCTTTATCTTCTGAGCCGCCGGGAGTTTGACGACATAAAACACGATTTGGATAAGCACGTTCGGCAAAAAGTCGTAAAGCTTCTTTACTTAAAACATAACCAGCACCTCCAGACATATAGCCCTAAAATAAGACAAGTATTTCAAGTGAAATTTGGCTAAAATGAACTAAAACTCACCTGCCTAACATGAGGCTTAAATTTGCTACCAAAATATACCGAAGCATTTGGGGACATGGTGTATAGAAAAGCTCTTAGATTTTCCATAATCACGTAACTGTAAAATAGAGAGATTTGTATAAAGCGGGTTAACAATCGTTTATTTTTATACCAACTTACGTATCATCATCCGCTTTTAAAAACCAATCGTATTCATTAAAATGATGATCGTAGACATATTTAAAAGCCTCCCGAGTTTTATTCCATAAATTACCACGTCCTTCACCCGCCTTCACATCAATTGCTCCTAAAGCTTTATCCTCCTTTGAGCTCATAAAAAGTAACTTATTACATCTCGAACCCCAAGTATTCTTAACATGTATGGCTTTCTTTTCATGATTTTGGGGTCCAGTCAAAACCCAACATAGAACTCTAACTTCTTTAAACAAACGATCTGCTATCTCTGTATCAAGATCATCTGTTATTGGTGTATTAGTTGAAAGCTTTTTTATTTCTCCTTCAGACTCTTCATAATTTTCCATCGGTTTAATGATTTCTTCAGAATCTATACTAGATAAAGATTGTAATATTTCATGATCTTTACATAAATTTTGATTTGATTTCATTGATGTCGTTATCATTAGGTTATCGTGTTGGGTCGTATTTAATAGCTGGGAAAATGTAAAACCAATTGCAACTCCTACTATGAGTGTAATGAATAGTTGTAAAAGTGATATATTACTTTGGAAATGCATTGCTTTGGGATTATTTATGGCAGCTTTTATGTAATGGGTATGTTTGGACTTTGATCTGAAAAAAAAAATTAATGATTATTCTTTAAGTTTTCTAAAAGATAAAAGCAAATGCATTTAAATTAACCAAGGCCGGGCTCAATCGATATGGAAAGTGATTCTTAGCCGATAGTTACACTTTAAGGTGTTACAAACATCAGCTCAAACATATAGTACTCTCCCTACTCTAGTAGTAAAGGGTATAAAAACTATTATTAGAACAATTTTTACATGCTATTGCTGTCGTGTCCCATAAATATGCAAAATGATACAATAAATCATTTAAATAAAACATCATATTGAATTACAAAATATTAATATAATTCAGATAAAATATTAACATTGGAATAAATAATACAGTAGGGACTCGAAATAAATAAACTTTGCAACTACAGTTCTAATAATAACCACAACTAAACGATTTTGCTAAATACCCACTGTTTAGAGAGCTGTTTGAATAATGATTTAACGATTTTTTTTTAATTGTTAAATAATAACAACAAATAGTAATATTGACATAAAAGTAATATACAAGGTGAAAGAGGAATGGGAAATTTTAAAATTGTAGAAAAAAAATCAATAAATAAAAGTGAAACTATTTAATTCCGTAAACACTGAAGCAAAGATTTACAATCTTAAATTACTTATATTGATGATGACGATGACGAAGATGGTGTTTATCAGCTGTAGGATGATGATGACGACGATGATGATGGCAGTAAATTATTTAATAACCAATAAACCTACCCTGCAGTTCATGGGGCAAGTAATTGAAGGGGCACCTATGCAGTGAAGTATGTCATCACTGGTTATCTTACTTATGATTGAAGTGTGTGCGGATTTTTCAATCAAAAAGTAAGCTAGAGAGGACCCTTCATAACCTCATTGTGACTTGCATATCCGACCTCGGTTCATGTACAAGCACTACAATCTCTGACCATTGTAGCCCAATTGTGAAATGTCGTCAGACTATATCTGAAATATTCGTCTATAATCTAAACACAACCACACTACTGGGATGGACGCTGAACAGCACACAAAGGCGTATTTGGAAGATGGAAGTACGATCCTTATTAATAAGCCAAAACTGCGCTTAGGGAACACGCTGCGATAAGTCGGGTATGAACAAAGTAAAGCCCGAAAAATACCTGGACAAAAAAGGGATCTTTATCGATATCACAAGGAGAGGAATACTGTACACCGATCACCTCTCCGCCGGGGTCTCGTTACCTTGGTGATCTTCCCCATCTTGGTGTTATTACAATCCGAAGGAAAATAAGTGCTACCGGAACTGCCGGAACTATAATTTGGTCGTGTCAAATGTATCCTTGGCCTTTCCTTGGAATGAATTGACATGGGATTGAACCAGAGAACCACATAATCTGGTACCGCGGGTACAGGTAGCTTACAGGGCAGAGTATAGGACTTTGTCTTGTTCCGGTTATTGGAGAGGTCCTTTCGGTGAGGTAACAGAACAACTTATGCTGGATTCCTGAATCTATTAAGTATCTTTTACTCTTCAGGTAGTAGTAGCCAGTATATGTTGGGGAACTGTCAGGTTTACATTTAGTGGTTGCCGGTCATTCCGTAGATAGTACTTTATGATCTGAGAACGGAACTGATATAAATTGGTGAAATTTCGGGAAAGCCCCTTTGCCCGACAGGAGATTATAACTGCTTGAATATGCCTTTTCACTTCAGAGAAGTTCTCAGTGCTGTTGCCATCGCAACAGGATGCATGTTGATACATGCTAAGCTATTAATGGTTGAGTACCGTCACTCAATCTGTAGGGGCAATTATTGGTTACGTTTGAATTTAGAAATTCTTATATCACATTATCCTCACATACAGAGGTATTCTGATGTATTGGCTGAGTATTTCGGACTACTAAAGAAGTCTTTAGAACGAGAAATCTACCAGAGCAGATCAATGGAACACGGTGACCCTACAGCGTCGCTCATGACAATGATTACAGCTATTGGTCATCTCGGTACTTATCCGCCTGTCGGGCTAGCATCATGCTACTTGTCATTCTGCAACGCAATCATTTCGCTAGAGATTGGATAGCACAGGCCGGCAGAGCCACGTACAAAAATTGCCCTGAGGGTACTTCATTAAAGTCACTGGGGAGCGCGTGGTAGACCGTCCCAAACCTACATACCCATTGAAAAGTACCACCGTGAAATAAGGCCGTCAAGGAAGGTGTTCAAGTAAAGCACTTCGACATCTTGTACATCCATCACAATTTAATCCATTACACAAACCATTCACTCGGTATATACTTCGAAACACTCACATCCATCGCCACCCAGTTGACCCATACTGCATCCAGTACATCAGCAACATATAGTCCCCATAATCGCTCCTCTGAAGCCTGTTTAATCGGCCACAGCACCGGAAATTTATACCGAAATATTAATTCCACCATTCACCGTTGCTTAAAACAATAATCTCTTCCCTCGAGTGGGGTTAACCACACCCTGAAGATATCTCTCCAATAATCAGTACAAGACGAAGTCCAAGACAACATACTGTGTGCAATAGGTGCCCGTGGCACCAGATAGGTTAGGTTCTCTGGTCAGCCAGGGAGTCAAATGACACGTCCAGTTTATAGTCGGGTAATGGAAGCTCTTCTTTACCCGGGATTACAATAGCAATAAGACGAGGACGGTTCAACAAGATAACCTGACCCCGGGAGAATGTAGGGACATTACTTGTCAATTGACCCGTTTTAGACATGCTGTACTATCGGGTACTATCAACCATTAACAACAATTATTTCGTAAAATTTTAACACTTTTGTGTATATGAATGAAGAGAAGCAACACAAGAGGTAATAAATAAACAAAAACAAATATGCAAAAAATAAATAAATAAACTACAACATGCAGATTTTCTTGGTGACCTTTAAAAAAACAACAACAACAACAACAAATAAAACGCAACAACATGTTGCAGCAGCAACAGCAAAATGATGAACAGCAGGAATGTGCAAAAGTTTAAATTAAGTCGATGGAAATGAAGTAAAAAAACCAGTAAGAAGTTATAATCGGGCAAGACTGATCATTTTAAACACTACATTAGTTAAATGTCTTTGTCTGGGATTATAATATGGAATGTTGCAGTTCTTATAATGGTCCCATCCTCATAGAATATGAGGATGGGACCATTATATACTATATTCTGAAACGGATTTTATACGAGACCAGGGGTCCCATATCCACTAAAGAGAGAAGAGTCTATGTGAAATCATGTACCGATTTTAACCATCTCTGAAAAAAGTACTTCGCCTTATAGATTTAAAAAAATATTTTAAAACGATTTGTATTTAGAATTTCTGTGTGTTACAAACACTATATCCTCCCCACTACAATAGTGTAGTGGGGAGGATATAACGACATAAATAACGACAAGTTACGACAACTTTACTCACATACACTTGCGCGCGCAATTAACACACATTCGTAACTTTTTGTTTCAATTCATTCGAACGTGTCTTGTTCACTGTGTCAGACACTTCAGTCACGTTTAACGATTCACAATATATCGGGATATTTTAAATTACAATTTGGATCAGACTAACTGTTATTAGCAAGATAGAGTACAGACAATAATACATCTAAAAAAGTACAATTTTTCAATATTATTCTCTATAGATGAGAAATGTTTGTCTTTAAAATGGGCGAGATCGGCCGACTAAAGAAACCCTACAAAAGAAACTGGCCGGGTTGTTGTTCAACATAATAGTGCCGCGATACTTCTAAAAGAGATAGACAGACATATTATTTTCCTTAGCGTTTATAAGGAATTTGATGTAAAATATAATTACACACTTACAGCGATTACAATAACTATTTGCCGGTGGTAATACATCATCACAAACAAAATTTTTCCAAAAAAATCGCAACTTATTTTATTTAAACTAAACATACACACACATACATATTAACACAACTATCTATTTATTTGTAAAAAAAAAAACAATTTACCAGGTATCGCTTACAATAACAAAATAACTTTAAAAATGACTCACTTCGAAGTCATCGTTATAAACATAAACGTAAAAATTAATTAAAAAATCAAATTTATAATTTTGTGGTTTGTCCGCTTAAGAGAATGAGTAGATTATATTGAAGACAAAATCAAATAACTTCAGTGTACTCTTTATGCACATAACTAAATATATAGTGTTTCAAAATTCACGATCATTTTAATTTTTGCATTAAAGTGTTGCCAACTAGAAAATAAATAAATAAATAATAAAGACATCGGGAAACCTTATGTTTGCTTCTACAGCTTTATTTTGTCCATATGTCAAGAGGTACTAAGCTTTTTAGTTGATTACTAAGTTTCTTCTGAATTGTTTTTAAACTTTGGATGGCCATTCCCTTGTTCGAAATTCATCATATCGGAAAAGGCCAGGTAGATCTTGGAACATCCTTTACCTATTTATATTGTATTATTATATTTTATCAGTCTGAAGGCCATTCTATAGATAGATATTTACAGACTAGTCTATTGATCAGTTTTCAGATCAGTCTTCATATTAGCCTGCAGATCAGTTTATAAATTAGTCAGCTTCAAGAGCAGCCTGTCAATAGATAAGTCTATAAATCAGTTCCAAGATCAGTCTATAAATATGAGTATAACATGAATTAGCCTGTAGACCAGTCTGTTGAGCATTCTATGATAAGTTTATAGGCAAGCAGATCCAGTGTATGGATTCATCTAGAGAGCAATATTTCTAGGTCATCATCATTATTAAGTTCATTCTGAAGTTCGCACTTTAAATCTATGTAAGGGTCACTCTAACTTCCAATCTATGAACTGATATACTTTGGATAACTCTCTATATAACTACCCATTTATTCGTCGATATATATATATATATATATATATATATATATATATATATATATATATATATATATATATATATATATATATATATATATATATATATATAAAAATATATATATATATACTGATATATAGGCTAGTCTACGGATCAGTCTATAGACTAGCCTATAGATAAGTCTATTGACTAGCCTATAGATTAGTCTATAGACTAGTATATAAATATTTTTATAGACATAGCCTACAGATCAGTCTATAGGCTAGCCTACAGATCAGTCTATAGACTAGCCTATAGATCTGTCTATAGACTGCCTATAGATCAGTCTATAGACTAGCCTATATATCAGTCTATAGACAAGCCTATAGATCAGTCTATAGACTAGCTTATAGATCAGTCTATAGACTAGCTTATAGATCAGTCTATAGACTAGCCTATAGAATCTTTATAAATCTTTAGATCAGTCTAAAGACTAGATAAGTCTATTGACTAGCCTTTAGATTAGTCTATAGACTAGTATATAAATATTTTTATAGACATAGCCTACAGATCAGTCTATAGGCTAGCCTACAGATCAGTCTATAGACTAGCCTATAGATCTGTCTATAGACTGCCTATAGATCAGTCTATAGACTAGCCTATATATCAGTCTATAGACTAGCCTATAGATCAGTCTATAGACTAGCTTATAGATCAGTCTATAGACTAGCTTATAGATCAGTCTATAGACTAGCCTATAGAATCTTTATAAATCTTTAGATCAGTCTAAAGACTATAGACTAGGTCAGACTATAGATCAGTCTACAGATCGGACTATAGATTACTCTAATGATCTGTCAAATGACTATTCTATAGATCAGTCTATAGACTAGTATATAAATATTTTTATAGACAGATCAGTCTATATACCAGTCTATACACTTATCAGTTGGCATATAGATCAGTCAATAAATTGACAAATAGACAATGTTCAATCTAATATATAATACTCGACAAATTCTCTGCTTATGATCTGTCTATAAATAAGAATACATGCCAGTCCTTAGTCCCCGGGACATGTAAATTATGATCTTCCCCATCTTGGTGTTATTTCGATTTGGAGGAAAAGAGGTGCTACAAATACCTCTAGTATGCCGGGACTATAAACTGTTGTTCAATGATCTGACCTGGCGCCGAACCAGGGAGCCTTATAATCTGGTATCACGAGAATGGGTAGCCTACAGGGAGGAGTTTCGAACATTGTCTTGACCCGGTTACTGGAGAGGTCCCTTCGGGGTGCACGTGGTAGATGTTGTTCCAAGTCCAATCTTACGGGAAGAGAATGTTGGTTAAAGGATTGTTACATGGGAAAGTCCATATTTCAGGATAAGTTTCCTTTATGGTTGAATGTGTTCGAGTTTACTCTAAAACATGCTCAACTTATCACAGTAGGTCTTAGTGACCACTGAAATAACTCTTGGCAATTAAAAATGGATCCGTGTTTCGGACTACCATTTACTTGTGTGGTTTGGCGACTTTAAGAGGTCCAACAATGCTCTGGGGTTAGTCTTTAGATGATTAGAATGTTTGTAGGGACATGACATTGCTCATGTCATCAATAGAGTGTTTACACCTGATGTTGGATGTGCTCCTTCTATCGACTTTAACCAGTAATTGCTTTTTCCTTCATCGGGTTTAGATTAAGCTTGACTCATGACACCTGTCATTCCCCAATGGGACTATTAGGCAAGAGATTAGATAGCTCGAGTACTTGAGCAAAGTACTCATATATTGGACCGGAAATTTCATATACGTAAATTGCCACCTGCGTGTAAGAAACACAAAGGGGCGGTGGTGAGTCATTACAAAAGCTCTCACAGTGGTTGAAAAAGATCACTGCGACGGCAGGTGTTCACGTAAAGCTCTTCGACATAAACCCCGCAGAGAAGTGTGAAGTGTATATGATACGGAATGGGCGTCACCGATTCTTACTTACTCTAGGTTGTAAGTGTGTTGGATGTGCCGAATCAACAGAGGCCATCCCAACCCCGTGGTTGTAACCGAAAGTGTTGTTTTTGCATCTCGGAAGTTAAGGGGAAGCAATGGTTAGATAGCTCGAGAACTTGAGCAATGTGCTTGCATATGGACCGGCAGAACCAAAGGTGCGGTGGTGAGTCGTCTAACAAGCTCTCCCTGTGGTTGTAAAGTACCACTGTGAAATAAGGCCACATTAATCTGTAAACTATGATAGTGATGTAAACTATGATAGTGACCAGTTTATAGACCGGCCGTCCTATCATTCTATGGATCAGACTATCCCACTACTGATATTTTTAAGCCAGTTATGACTGTTTAAACTGTATTATTGACCGATGCTGCCCATTTCAAGCAATCTGAATCAGTATAAAATATCTGTTTTCAGCAGACAGTCTTAAGGTTGTAGCTAGATCGTCTTAGACTCTAATAAGGATAATTTTTTTTCGATTTTGAATTATTTTATTAATGTCAATACAGGTGAAAATGTATGTACACACTTATTTGTAAAGTTGACATACATACATACATACATACTAAACATATTTATTGTGGAAAACTTTTGCCAAATGCCGGCAATTGCATTAATAATACCGGTATGATATTATTATTTAAACCACATAAACAAAAAACCGTTAAAAATTGAAATCAAACCAAATTCTTGTTGCGTTGCCAATTTTGTTGTAGGAATGAATACCAAGATAATTATTTATAAACACGAACTTTATATTTTTCAATTTGTTCGAAATCTTACCCATTGAATTTTAAATTGAATGTTATCAGCTTTCAAAACACATCTCTGCAGTAGTAAGAGGAGAGATAAGGGGATATGTGACAACTTTTATTTAAATATATTTTCACTTTCTTTAAAATTTGTATAAAATGTTATTGGTTTACGCATAAATTAATTCTGTTTTTAAATACAAATTTTGTTTAGATGAACACACACACGCAGACTCCACTAACTTGATTTTGAAATACTTATTTATTTAAAATATTTTTAGCAATTTTATTATTTCTTTATTAACACATGCAATTATTATTATTTGCGTTAAATAATCTTTTCGATATTATTTCATATTTATGCCAATAAATTATTATTAAACTTCACTTTAAAAATTCCATTTGTGGTCTTGAAAGAACACAAGAACAACAATTTGTTAAAGTTTTTTTTTTTTGATTTTTTATTTATTTGTATTTATTTTTGTTGTGTGTGTGTTTCTTTTTTATTACCAGCAATCGACCGACCGTACCCGCTTATGGCTCGCTGCATACTTGACTGTCACTGTTTAAAAGTCATCGTTCAGAGGCGATGACGATTTTAATGTGAGTATTTTGTAGGTATTTTATTCATTTTTTTCTTAAACAATTTTGTATTTATTTACTTGCTGTTGATGTTGTTGTGGTATTTGTTTTCTTGTTTATTTTTTGGGAGATAACACAAGCTGCTCATACGTCCGTAGTACACACAAAAACACATATAACACGGCCATCATCATCAGCTAGCAGTACGCTACTGCGCTGATTTCAACAAACAGCAATACAATGAAGAACAATAACAACCAGAAAAAACATAAATTCATATACTACACATCCAAAAAATAAATAAAACAATACAAAAATCGAAGAGAAAAAACTTCATTTAATATTCGTAAATTGTACGCATGCGCAGCACATGGTTCTTCATCGAAGTAATTTTTTGTCACATCAAGTATACGACACACAAGCACACTAACATAAACCGGCACTCATAAACACACATGCATACATTCGTACTCAATGTAAATAAAAATTAAAATTCTCAATAAATTTAAATGTCAATTACATATTTTACGTGCATACATACGTACAAACAAACATACATTTGTATGTATGTACATATACCTGTGTATCTGTAAATTTACTCAATTATTTGTTTGCCAGTTATTTTTTAATCGTTTTTAAAATTTTTTATATATTTTAAGGAATGCATTTCAATTGATTTTAATTAAATTGTACTTTCTTTTATTTGCAGCAATTAAAGTTGTTTATTTTAAAATAAACGTTTAAATTCCAAAAAACTGAATCAATATGTGATTGGTGTGTTTTAAAAAGCACTATTTAACGTTATTAAATTTGTGATGTTTTATTTCCTGCCTAGAAATATGCTTTATTTAGTTATTACATTTACAGTAGTGGCTAGGGATGAGATATTCCTTGTTTCAATGAAAATGTAACATGTAAATGGAACGAACGAACGAACGAACGAACGAACGACGAAACGAACGAACGAACGAAGAACGAAGAACGAACGAACGAACGAACGAACGAAACGAAGAACGAACGAACGAACGAACGAACGAACGAACGAACGAACGAACGAAACGAACGAACGAACGAACGAACGAACGAACGCGAACGAACGAACGAACGAACGAACGAACGAACGAACGAACGAAACGAAACGAACGAACGAACGAACGAACGAAAAACGAAAACGAACGAACGAACGAACGAAACGAACGAACGAACGAACGAACGAACGAACGAACGAAACGAACGAACGAACGAACGAACGAACGAACGAACGAACGAACGAACGAACAACGAACGAACGAACGAACGAACGAACGAACGAACGAACGAACGAACGAACGAACGAACGAACGAACGAACGAAACGAACGAACAACGAACGAACGAACGAACGAAACGAACGAACGAACGAACGAACGAAGAACGAACGAACGAACGAACGAACGAACGAACGAACGAACGAACGAACGAAACGAACGAACGAACGAACGAACGAACGAACGAACGAACAACGAAGAACGAACGAACGAACGAACGAACGAACGAACGAAACGAACAACGAACGAAAACGAACGAACGAACGAACGAACGAACGAACGAACGAACGAAACGAACAAACGAAAAAAAAACGAACGAACGAACGAACGAACTAACGAACGAACGAACGAAACGAACGAACGAACGAACGAACGAACGAAGAACGAACGAACGAACGAACTAACGAACGAGAACGAACGAACTAACGAACAAACGAACGAACGAACGAACGAACGAACGAACGAACTAACGAAACGAAGAACGAACGAACGAAAACGAACGAACGAACAACGAAAACGAACGAACGAACGAACGAACGAACGAACGAACGAACAACGAACGAACGAAACGAACGAACGAACGAACGAACGAACTAACGAACGAACGAACGAACGAACGAACGAACGAACTAACGAACGAACAAGAACGAACGAACGAACAACGAACGAACGAACGAACGAACGAACGAACTAAACTAACGAACGAAACGAACGAACTAACTAACGAACTAAAACGAACGAACGAAACGAACGAACGAACGAGAACGAACGAACGAACGAACGAACGAACGAAGAACGAACGAACGAACGAACTAACGAACGAACGAACTAACTAACGAACTAACTAACTAACTAACAACTAACTAACTACGAACTAACTAACTAACTAACTAACGAACTAACTAAAAACTAACTAACTAACTAACTAACTAACTAACTAACTAACTAACTAACTAACTAACTAAAAAAAACTACTAACTAACTAACTAACTAACTAACTAACTAACTAACTAACAACAAAACTAACTAACTAACTAACTAACTAACTAACTAACTAACTAACTAACTAACTAAAAAACTAACTAACTAACTAACTAACTAACTAACTAACTAAATAACTAACTCCATTGGTAAGAATTGGGGCTTGCGACCAGACATGATAAACTGGTTTCACACGTCGGTAGTAAAGCCCATTATTATCTATTTATCTACCGTGTGATGGGTAGCGTTGAGGAAAAGCAGCTATAGGCTATTACCAAAATATATTTAATACGCGTATTCTTTTAAATAATATTCCTTTCTAATACTCAATTTGGTTCAAAGGTCGGCATAACTAGTGCTAGGCGAAATATATATTGAGAGTGTAACGGCAAGAAACTTATATAGAGTGTTCGAATTACCTCTAGTAAGACCACAGCGGGTAGGCCATATAAGGATACTGTACGAGGTAGGAGAACAGGAACTGAAGTACGGAGGGTATTTATGATCATTTGGAATGACACCTTCAACAGTGTTTCTTAGTAGGGACAAGTGGATTGGGTCCGAAGTACAGTTTGAGGGATGTGCAGTTTTTTCGGAGAAGTCCAGAATGGAATATATGGACAGTAGTTTATCTGGTTCATAAAATTGTCGTATAGACTTTTGGACGAATGTATCGTCTTTCAGGCTGAGATCTTAGCAATCTAGAAAATCGCTGAAAGTCGGAAGCAACGATTTATGTTGATAGTTAGGCAGCTTGTAGAGCTTTAAAATGTCACCCATTACATTTTAGCTTGGTAACTAGCTGCAGAAGGATCCTGTTAGTGCTAGTCAAGTTCTACACAGTACGGTTATGTTTTATACCGGAATACTGTGATATAAAGGTAACAATATTGTAGATAAATAGGTAAGACAGGGTTCGGATCTGAACCTTAATAGAAGCGTTTGGTCGATGAAACCTTATATATGTTATTACTATCTCCGAAAATTTCAAAACTCTACCAACTGATCCTGACACAGTATAGGTTTCCAAGGAGCTATGGCCGAAGTTAAATGTAAAAGCAACCAGAGTACTTTTAGGGTTGGACGGGAAGAATATAAGGACTTTAGAGGGAGCAATAACCGGTCACTACACAATTGGAGTCTTTAGGGATAATAGGTTCTGTAACACAAGATGAATTGGGTCTATAATACAGAGTCTGAGAATGAAATGTATAGGTAAAATATTTCATGATGAACTGGGAGATGTAGCTGGGTGTGACTTAGGCGGACAATGGAGATTTGCCTTCCATGCCCCTTTCTCTTTTTATCTTTCTCTCTTAATCTTCTGTCTTCTTTCTATATTCCTTGTTCTTTATTAAAGGGAATCACAATGGACCCTTTGGGGTCTCCGAGTGGATGTTTACCTTGGTATATAACCGTTATTAACGACTTCAAATGGATATTAACAATACTAAAACCGAATCTAACTAAATCAGTTGCATTTGATCGGGATGATCGGGCTTCACATACGACCTCTTACACATCGGTTTATCATAATGGATCCATTTTTCATATGAAGCAAAGACTCGGTATACACATTATTTTCTTTTAAGGCGTTCAAGCAGCATTTCAGACATGCAAACTCGTCTTACAAAATCGCTCGACTTGAATTCATATAGTACTCAATTTCTCTGTGTTTGGATGAATCCTGCTGCTCACAAAAGTTTTAATATTTCTGCTTGAGTAACTCGCAAGCTCTTATTGAGTTTAACACTGTACGACGGAGATTTGGAAATAAATAGGATTACTTACACATACGGAAGGTAATTGCTAAAGACACAGACACTTCTCGGATAACACTAGAGTTATAATGGTCACAGACATTCCGGATTGTACGAATAATGTAAAAGAAAATTGTGATTGAGAACGTCTTGCGACTTCCAGGATCCATATAAGAGAGTTAATAAGTGAGGAAGTGTACAGAAAATAAGCTTTAGAGCTGAGCAGTTAGGCTATAACACTCCGTTATCAGTAAGATTTAGCTGACTGACGACTTCAAAATAAAGTTTTAACTTTTGTTATACATTTTTCCTTCTTCAAGATATCTTAAACTGAATCTCAAAAACATAATGTGATGGAGATATTCGGATTCAGCACAGTTCAATTCTTAAGTAAAGTCTAACTGGGTATCCAATATCCCTGGGTATCCAATATCGGTTGGACTGTGTTAACATGGGAAAGGGAAAAAGTAATTATTGAATTGCCAAGGGAAGTCAAATATATTGGCGTCTTTGGATGAGTTAAAGCCTTCTGCATCTTCTATTCTTGCTGTAGACAGCGGTTACCAATTTTGATCAAAGTTTTACATTTTTGGTGGAAACTAAAGTTACAAAGATTAGTTTGTTCTGCTTTTAAAATCTATTTGAGCTCAAAACTGTTGTCTTACTTGGAGTCATGCCTAAACATGTTTATCAAGTACAGTACTGCTAAATCGGCCCTTCGTTTTAATGAATCGGACCTTTCCTTCTAAAGAAATAGAGAACGATTTTAGCTTTGAAAGAACATTACGAATCAGAATAGTAGCAAGAAAAAACTGGGCGGTAAACGCTGTCCTTGAAGGAAAGCGACCTCGGTCAACACTGACTTACCACCTCGGGAATTTTATATGATAGGTTTGGTTCCTTGGTCTCCACAAGATTGCTTAATGTCTGCTCCTGGATAGAATATTCGTATTAACATGGCCTTTGTATCGTTAATGATCGACAAAGGTGAGAAAGAAAAGGCAGAATTCAGTTGCTCACCCTGCTGAATATCCAAAATTCTATATCATGCAGAAAATGATCTTGACACTCTTGATCTTTGATAAAAAATAATTACAATAATTCGCCTTTTTAAAAGACTATGATAGACTGTGATAATTTATAATTTCATTTCAGAAGTGAAAAAGATATCTCGGCCAACCAAAACTGACCCATGGGCCATGGGTTACCTAAATAATAGAAAATCAATATAACATCTATAGAATTAAACCTCTATACTGATCTGCACCATCTCAAATGCGTGCCACAGTTCACAATATGTTGCTCCATATGTTTTAAATACTTCATTCATTATTTCGTCTTCAAAATAATGCCAAATTTTTATTATTTTATTAACTCTAACTGTAACACATTAAACTTCAATTAAATGACATTAATATTTGTTTAAATAAATAACAAAAGAAGTAAATACAATAAATAGATCAATAAATGATGTTGTAATATCAATTCGTTCGACTATACGAATCAATTCAATTCAAAAATCATAGTAATGATGAACAGATAATTTTGCACCATCATATAATGGACAGTCCAAAATATATTTTAAAAACTGAAAGTGTTTGAAAAACGATGAAAAGGCCAATTCATGATGAAGACTGTATAAAAATCAGTATTAATTACTAAGTAAAGCATAGTACATCCAGAGTAACAGCAGAGTGTAAACAGTTTTAAACAAATTTCAACATTTAGGAATAAATATATTTGAGGGAAATGGCTTTTAAAGTAAGTTTTTACATCCAAATAACTTGTAGTTTGGGAATTTATATTGTATTTTCTTTGTTTTCAGTTTGTTGCAGTTTTTTATTTGATCACCTTGGCTTCAGCGGGAGATTTTGAGTATAATAAGCCCTTGATAAATAACCAGGCCTCTGATACTTACAACACAAATCCCAGTGATAATAGCTTAAGCAGCAAACCTTTGGTGGATCCAACTCCAGTACAACGTGATAACCAAGATCCAGATTCTTATAGGACAACACAAGAAAACGATAGTTCATATCAACAGGAAAGCAGAAATGACAATCCTTCATATTCCTCTTCTCATGACAATACATACAATCCATCCGCTACACACACTTATCAAGCAGCAGTTTCTTCCACGTACAACGATAACCAATTTGGTTATGACTATAATCCAGTTTATAATCCACCAGCCAAATATGATTACAGCTATAGTGTAAATGATCCCAAGACTGGGGACATTAAATCCCACAGTGAATCTCGCGATGGTTATTACGTGCGTGGTGCCTATAGTTTAGTCGATCCAGATGGTTATAAACGTACTGTCACCTATACAGCCGATAATGTTAATGGTTTTAATGCTGTTGTCAAACGTGAACCTTATGCGGTTCAGTATAAGGTGCCACTTGATAAATATCAATCTTCAGAAGCCGTTGAAAGTGTGACAACAACGAAAGATAGCCAACCTAATTTAACTAATTCCTCTCAGGAAAGAGACAGTTATTCCAGTCCTCCAGTTCAAGATGGCAATGGGCCATATGCCTAACCAAGCCATATACTTTTTATTGCTCACTGTCATTGTCATTATAAATTTATTCATTAATTTTTAAATTCATTAACTAAACTTTTATTTTCTATTAGTTTTCATTAATAATAGATTTTATTATAAAAAATTATAAACTAAACTTTAATAATATTTCAATTGTGGAATTTTTATTCACTTTAAATATGTTTCAAAGTTTTTCCTCGATCAATGAAAAAATATTGGGTTCACTGAGCTGCTATAATCCAATTGCTTTAAACCTTTTTTAAGATTACTTTTACTCCTAAAGATATGCCACATAAATCTGAATAAATAATTAGATGCATTTTAAAAGGCAGAAGGTTTAATTTAAAAATTCTGTTAAAACCCATAATAAGCATTAACTAACCATTTTTTTGTTTTTGACACAAATTTTAATTCAGAATATTATGCTTTATTTCTTAAACAGTGACTAAAGTTGAGATCCAATTTATTAGCAAAGACAAACACCTAACAATTTAAATGCTGACAATCGAATGAGTAAGGTGGAGTGTGCTTCTCAGACATGGAAAATTCAGTACTTAAGTACTCTTTATACCCTACATCACTTTAGTGGGGAGGGTATGTTGGGATGTTTGTAACGCACAATAATATTGGTCCTATACCCACTTTAAAGTATACCAATCGACTTAGAATCATTTTCTGAGTCGACCTTGTAATCAAACTACTGGACGCAATTTTGAAGATAATTCAATGAAATTTGGTACATGATCTTCTATTATCCCAGGGACGAAGCCTATTGAAAATGGTTACGATCGGTCCATTATTTCACCTAGCCCCCATACAACTGAACCCCTGAATAGGGCTTGTAAACCTTGTAATCAAACCACAGGTCACAATTTTGAAGATAACTCAATGAAATTTGGCTCACGATCTTCTATGGTGCTAGAGACGAAGTCTATTGAAAATGGTTAACATCCGTCCATTATCTCACCTAGCCCCCATACAACCGAACCCCCGAATAGGGCTTTTAAACCTTGTAATCAAACTACAGGTCGCAATTATGAAGATAATTCAATGAAATTTGGCACACGATCTTTTATGGTACCGGAGACGAAGCCTGTTGAAAATGGTTAACATCGGTCCATTATTCAACTTAGCCCCCATACAACTGAACCGGACGAATAGGGCTTTTAAGTTCATAATTATGTTTAATATACTCGTATCTCGACAAAAAGCTGCAAAACCAAGTTCTATACTAGACTTGATGACCCTCATGAATTTTCTAATTATAGGTTCTCATTTGACCATAGCCCCTATTCAAAGCCCCCTTCAAAATTCGATTAAATGTCCACAATTTTATTCAACAATAAATGGCTTAAGTATATCTGAGGCAAGGTACATTTCAACTTAAATGCTTTATTGTGAAAACTAAAAAACATTTTGTTTGTAACAGGTGTAGGGTATTATATGGTCGGCCTCGCCCGACTATAATTTTTTACTTGTTTTAGTATTTTTTGATATCGAAAAATACTACATTGCACCCTCACTACATTTCCGTTTCTTTTTCTAACCTATTAACTTTTGATAAGTAGTCCGTATAAGAAGAAGTTAATAGACCAGTCTATAGTCTAGTTACAATAGTCCAGTCTACAATCTTGTTTATAGTCTAGTTAATAGTGTATTCTATAGTCTAGTCTATATTCTAGTCTATAGTCTAGTCTATAGTCTAGTCTATAGTCTAGTCTATAGTCTAGTCTATAGTCTAGTCTATAGTCTAGTCTATAGTCTAGTCTATAGTCTAGTCTATAGTCTAGTCTATAGTCTAGTCTATAGTCTAGTCTATAGTCTAGTCTATAGTCTAGTCTATAGTCTAGTCTAGTCTAGTCTATGGTCTAGTCTATGTCTAGTCTATAGTCTAGTCTATGTCTAGTCTATGGTCTAGTATATAGTCTAGTTTATGGTCTAGTCTATAGTCTAGTCTATAGTCTAGTCTTAGTCTAGTCTATAGTCTAGTCTATAGTCTAGTCTATAGTCTAGTCTATAGTCTAGTCTATAGTCTAGTCTATAGTCTAGTCTATAGTCTAGTCTATAGTCTAGTCTATAGTCTAGTCTATAGTCTAGTCTATAGTCTAGTCTATAGTCTAGTCTATAGTCTAGTCTATAGTCTAGTCTATAGTCTAGTCTATAGTCTAGTCTATAGTCTAGTCTATAGTCTAGTCTATAGTCCTAGTCTATAGCTAGTCTAGCTATAGTCTAGTCTATAGTCTAGTCTATAGTCTAGTCTATAGTCTAGTCTATAGTCTAGTCTAATAGTCTAGTCTATAGTCGTCTAAGTCTATGTCTAGTCTATAGTCTAGTCTATAGTCTAGTCTAAAGTCTAGTCATAGTCTAGTCTATAGTCTAGTCTATAGTCTAGTCTATAGTCTAGTCTATAGTCTAGTCTACAGTCTAGTCTATAGTATAGTCTATAGTTTAGTCTATAGTCTAGTCTATAGTCTAGTCTATAGTTTAGTCTATAGTCTAGTCTATAGTCTAGTCTATAGTCTATAGTCTAGTCTATAGTCTAGTCTATAGTCTAGTCTATAGTCTAGTCTATAGTCTAGTCTATAGTCTAGTCTATAGTCTAGTCTATAGTCTAGTCTATGTCTAGTCTATAGTCTAGTCTATAGTCTAGTCTAGTCTAGTCTATAGTCTAGTCTATAGTCTAGTCTATAGTCTAGTCTATAGTCTAGTCTATAGTCTAGTCTATAGTCTAGTCTATAGTCTAGTCTATAGTCTAGTCTATAGTCTAGTCTATAGTCTAGTCTATAGTCTAGTCTATAGTCTAGTCTATAGTCTAGTCTATAGTCTAGTCTATAGTCTAGTCTATAGTCTAGTCTATAGTCTAGTCTATAGTCTAGTCTATAGTCTAGTCTATAGTCTAGTCTATGTCTAGTCTAGTCTAGTCTATAGTCTAGTCTATAGTCTAGTCTATAGTCTAGTCTATAGTCTAGTCTATAGTCTAGTCTATAGTCTAGTCTATAGTCTAGTCTATAGTCTAGTCTATAGTCTAGTCTATAGTCTAGTCTATAGTCTAGTCTATAGTCTAGTCTATAGTCTATAGTCTAGTCATAGTCTAGTCTATAGTCTAGTCTATAGTCTAGTCTATAGTCTAGTCTATAGTCTAGTCTATAGCTAGTCTATAGTCTAGTCTATAGTCTAGTCTATAGTCTAGTCTATAGTCTAGTCTATAGTCTAGTCTATTAGTCTAGTCTATAGTCTAGTCTATAGTCTAGTCTATAGTCTAGTCTATAGTCTAGTCTATAGTCTAGTCTATAGTCTAGTCTATAGTCTAGTCTATAGTCTAGTCTATAGTCTAGTCTATAGTCTAGTCTATAGTCTAGTCTATAGTTAGTCTATAGTCTAGTCTATAGTCTAGTCTATAGTCTAGTCTATAGTCTAGTCTATAGTCTAGTCTATAGTCTAGTCTATGGTCCTAGTCTATAGTCTAGTCTATAGTCTAGTCTATAGTCTAGTCTATAGTCTAGTCTAGTCTAGTCTATAGTCTAGTCTATAGTCTAGTCTATAGTCTAGTCTATAGTCTAGTCTATAGTCTAGTCTATAGTCTAGTCTATAGTCTAGTCTATAGTCTAGTCTATAGTCTAGTCTATAGTCTAGTCTATAGTCTAGTCTATAGTCTATAGTCTAGTCTATAGTCTAGTCTATAGTCTAGTCTATAGTCTAGTCTATAGTCTAGTCTATAGTCTAGTCTATAGTCTAGTCTATAGTCTAGTCTATAGTCTAGTCTATAGTCTAGTCTATAGTCTAGTCTATAGTCTAGTCTATAGTCTAGTCTATAGTCTAGTCTATAGTCTAGTCTATAGTCTAGTCTATAGTCTAGTCTATAGTCTAGTCTATAGTTCTAGTCATAGTCTAGTCTATAGTCTAGTCTATAGTCTAGTCTATAGTCTAGTCTATAGTCTAGTCTATAGTCTAGTCTATAGTCTAGTCTATAGTCTAGTCTATAGTCTAGTCTATAGTCTAGTCTATAGTCTAGTCTATAGTCTAGTCTATAGTCTAGTCTATAGTCTAGTCTATAGTCAGTCTATAGTCTAGTCTATAGTTAGTCTATAGTCTAGTCTATAGTCTAGTCTATTAGTCTAGTCTATAGTCTAGTCTATAGTCTAGTCTATAGTCTAGTCTATAGTCTAGTCTATAGTCTAGTCTATAGTCTAGTCTATAGTCTAGTCTATAGTCTAGTCTAGTAGTCTAGTCTATAGTCTAGTCTATAGTCTAGTCGATAGTCTAGTCTATAGTCTAGTCGATAGTCTAGTCTATAGTCTAGTCTATAGTCTAGTCTCTAGTCTAGTCTATAGTCTAGTCTATAGTCTAGTCTATAGTCTAGTCTTTAGTCTAGTCTATAGTCTTGTCTAGTCTATAGTCTAGTCTTTAGTCTAGTCTAGTCTAGTCTATAGTCTAGCCTATAGTCTAGTCTATAGTCTAGTCTATAGTCTAGTCTATAGTCTAGTCTATAGTCTAGTCTATAGTCTAGTCTATATTCTAGTCTATAGTCTAGTCTATAGTCTAGTCTATAGTCTAGTCTATAGTCTAGTCTATAGTCTAGTCTATAGTCTAGTCTATAGTCTAGTCTATAGTCTAGTCTATAGTCTAGTCTATAGTCTAGTCTATAGTCTAGTCTATAGTCTAGTCTATAGTCTAGTCTATAGTCTAGTCTATAGTCTAGTCTATAGTCTAGTCTATAGTCTACAGTCTAGTCTATAGTCTAGTCTATAGTCTAGTCTATAGTCTAGTCTATAGTCTAGTCTATAGTCTAGTCTATAGTCTAGTCTATAGTCTAGTCTATAGTCTAGTCTATAGTCTAGTCTATAGTCTAGTCTATAGTCTAGTCTATAGTCTAGTCTATAGTCTAGTCTATAGTCTAGTCTATAGTCTAGTCTACAGTCTAGTCTATAGTCTAGTCTATAGTCTAGTCTATAGTCTAGTCTATATTCTAGTCTATAGTCTAGTCTATAGTCTAGTCT